AATACCAAACAGATCATGCATTTTAGCCATGCCTCATTTCGCTCAATTTGACATTTTTTAGTTCTGGATTTGCAAGGGCAGATTCAGTGAGAACAGCACCATCTACTGGCCTGGCATATGTACTACAGCGTCTCCAGCGCTTTCGAACGGCAATGGCCGTGGCTGTCTCCTCCTGATTGGTGAAGTTGGCCCAATAGCCGTAGCGCCACCGTCCTGACGTCAGGACAGTGTTCAAATCTGGATCAGTTTTTATCAGATCCGTTGCAGCCCCTTTTTTAGAGATTTGGGTATGGAGGAAAATAGAGAGGGTTGTGTTTTCTGACACTTGGTGAGTTCCCTGGAACACCGGGGACAGATATTCATGTATAAAAGATGTACAAAAGTGTATTTTGCATGATAGGTCCCCTTTAATGCGGGAAAAACAAAATCGTTATTAATAGGATCAAATCATCAGTTAAAAGGTGAACCAAAATTGCAACTACATTTAAACCATATTGAAATTGAACAGGTCAAGGAGACAAAATTGCTAGGTATAACCCTGGATCATAAATTATCTTGGTCTAAACAAATTGATAATGTTGTATGTAAAATGGGAAGGGGTGTGTCACTTGTAAAAAGAATTGTAAAATATTTGCCAATGGATGTCAGTAGACAAGTTTTGGATGCTTTGGTTCTGTCGCAGCTTGATTATTGTTTGGTTATATGGTCTAGTGTTGCTGAAAAATATTTAAACAAACTACAAGTAGCACAAAATAAGGCAGCACGATGTGCACTGCAGTGCTCCTACAGAACCAGAGTCACTGAAATGCTGGAGACACTGAAATGGTTAACTGTCAGACAGAGGTCAACTTATATTTTGTTAAATTTTGTCAGAAATATTACAGTGACTCACTCACCAGATATATTATCACAAAGGTTTATAGCGCAATATGCACAACATAACTATCAAACACGACATACAATAGAAGGAAGGTTTGTATTACCCAAATCTAAATCAAATATGGGACAGAAAACAGTAATGTACAGAGCCATGGTCAGCTGGAACTCTTTACCGGTCCACATCATTCAGGAACATTCTCAAGTACATTTCAAAAGGTTGCTAAAAAGTTATTTAAGTATTGTAAAGTAAATTTGAACGGTGTCTGTGGCTATGTATGCATATATTATTATGTACACTTATTTGTATTTACTTTTGTTTGGCCTTAGGATGGCGATAATTGGATGACCATTTTAGTTTTCACTTCATACAGCACTGTAAATTGCATGAAATTATGAGCTGTTTTGTTTTGTTTTAATTTTGTTGTATGTATGTTTATGTATGTTTTGTGTGTGTGAGGACCCCAGGAAGAATAGCCAATGCTCATGCTAGTGCTAATGGGGATCCTAATAAAGACAAAGACAAAGAGTGTTTCCAGCCTACACCATAGCCCCGCCTCTCCTGCTCACCCCCGCGTCATTGCTGATCTGTTTCGCCAACAACAACAACAACAACAGTGTTCCGAGTGTTTCGAGCCAGGTCCCGGTGAAGCGCAGGACGGAGCACCCGGCGGGAGCCTCCAGCAGACCCCCCCGCACGGTTCCCTCGTCCCTCGGAAGAGGCGGAGAGGTGGGTGTTTTTCATCTGCTGGCGGACCGCCGGGGAGAACGTCCTGCTCGGGAGCCAGGCTCAGAGTTAGTGGCAGTGGGTGCGGTGCACCTTCCTTTTACAGCAGGAGCACACGCTCGCCTCGGGGAGGGAGAAAAAGAGAAACAGAAGCAGCCGAAACAGCCAGAGCCCTGCCTCTCCCCACCTCTGCTGCTCACCCCCGTGTCAAATCTACAGCTCCTCTACCACAACCATCAGCAACAAGTGGACATGGAGAACTACATGAACTACATGTTGTTGTTGTCCTACTTTTTCAGTCTAAAACAATGCTGCGTTGATTTAGAAGCTGAATCAACAAAAACACTGTTTAATCTGCTGATTCTTTCTTAAAAATATTCATATCAAAATAGAAGCTGGACTAAAATCCAATTAAAAGATGGTACGTCTTATTCGTCCAGTGTAGTAATAATATCTGGTATGGATTGGGGACCACAGGGTCAGATGACACAAATGCTATTTAAAAATAATTTGAAGTTTAAACAAATGTCAACAACATTTATTATTAGTTTTTTTTCTTTAACATGTTCCCACACAATTTGAACTAAAGAGTTTGCAGGAAGGAATTTATTGGCATATTTGTTGTCACTTTGCACACTTAACAGATGGAGATTATTTTGTGATTAACAAATATTTAACCAGAGGTTCAGGCTTCATTTTCACTAGATGAAAATATTCATATAGTTACTTAAAAAAACATGTTTTACATAAAGTAGCAGGAAGTAATAAAACAGTTGCAAATGTAAATGTGGATAGTGCAATTTTGATGAAGTAAACATTGCAGTAAAGAGTTTAAATGCTTCTGTGCAACAATCCTGAAGGAGAAGTTGCTTTAATGAAAACCTCAGATTCCCAGGGCATCTTTCTGCACCTTACAACCCAGCAGAGTGTTTCCAGCCTCCACACACTCCGCCACACATGGAGCTGAAAACAAACACAGAACCAGTCATCACCAGAGGAGAACAAACTGTTAAAAACAACAGAACATCGATCATTGTTCTGGTTATTACCGTTCTGAGCACGGAGCCATGACACAGCCTTCATAGCCAGAAGCTCCCACTCCTCCTGAGCATCCATCTTGAAACCATGAAGCCAGATCAGAGCCAGAATGGTGGCCCACACTTCCTTGTTCTCCTAATTTACCACAAAAAAACAATAAAACATGGATTAGAACCAACAGGCGAGAAAAAATGTCCCAAAATAATACTGAATTTCCTTGGTCATTTCATCTCTCATCTTCAGAACACAGCAGTAATGTCACCAAAACCTCACTTTAAATTATAATCTATGCCTAATTGCTCCCTATTTGTTTAATAATCCAATATTGTTTCATATTTTCTCTCGTTTGAGTGCTTCATTATTTAGTAAACTCTTGATTGTTGCAGCAATTAGTTTTTTAAGTTCAATATTTTCATTTTTAACAGTTACAAGACGATACAATAGTTAAAAAGCAGCAGTCACAGCCTTGAGCAGTAACCAGATGTAATTATGTTAAATGTGTTTCCATCATTTTAATAACACCATTCCTCTTTATGTATAATGCTATTTGGAACTCACTCATCAAGAGTTCCTCTTAACACATTAGATAATCTTTCCAATGGCAACATGGACATACATTTGAATTGTTGGAGTGCTTAAGTATTTAGTGAGCTCTTGATTCTTGCCACGATTAAATAATAATCTCACACATTTCAGTTTAAACCAGGGGTGTCCAAACTGCGGCCCGGGGGCCAAATGCGGCCCGTTTTCCATATCTAATTGGCCTTCAGCAAATTCTTAAAGTATAATGGTATATGGCCCCCACCTGAAACTCGTGCTTGTCTTATATTGCACTTCTTAAATATATATGTGAGCCTATATTACACAGTAGTTTTCACGTGTTAATAAGCCCACTTTTCAAATACATTCAATCAATTAGAGCTTAGAATCTTAGTTTGATTTCCATAACAAGCTATAAATAGACCCTTCATATTTCCCCTTAAGCAATCTGAGGTGTCTGTTTTAAGGGATGAGCTGCAACAGGATAACTGAAACCCTCTGGAGAGCTGTGAGGTTTCTTAAATCATATTCAAGTAGAAAGCATGATTGATTTTGCTGAATTATAACTTAACCTATGAGGCAGTATACGTCTAGTGAGGGGCCCCGCCCTTTGTATGTTTTTTCTGTATGTGGCCCTCAGTGAAAACTGTTTGGACACTCCTGGTTTAAACAAAATGAAAGAACTAGATGAGCAAGTAACCCACCGATGCAGGTTTTGTGTTTTCCACCTCCTCGCTGGTCTTTCCCACAGCAGCAGCCAGAGCTGGATCCAGCTCCCAGCAGCCGGACGCCTTCTGCAGGGAGACCAGCTGCAGCAGAGGGTCTCTGGGAGGCTGCAGGGGCTCAATGTCCAGGGAACAGTTTAATGACTCACGTTGGACGACACCTTCATGTTCAAAAGACACAAGAATTAGCTTAGAAATGTAATGAAATACCATGAAAGTATAATATTTGGCCACAAGTAAATACTTAAACCAAAGACATATTATTTCGGAAAAAATGATAGCCACAAAAAAAATCAAAAGGTAGCACAAGATGAAATGGAAAACAATCATCTCTAAAGAAGAGTGGGATTATGTGGAATAATAAATATGCGTGGCTATATGTGTGTTTTTGGTGGTTGGATGTATTGAGCTGTCAACCTAGTTATCTGAAGTGTTGAAGCGATCCTATTTTTTTTTTTTTTTACTTTTATTGTCATTACACAGTAGGCCTACTTACTATGTAACAAAATGGTTTCTCTGCATTTGACCCATCCTAGTGTTAGGAGCAGTGGGCTTCCATTATGAACGGCGCCCGGGGAGCAGTGCCTTGCTCAGGGACACCTAGGTAGCACTTGGTCTTGCCGGGGACTTGAACTGTTGACCTTCCAGTTGCCAAGCCAAGTCCCTATCCACTTCGCCACCATCGCCCCCTATTGACTGTTTTTGTCTCTTTTATTTTTATAATCTAATGAGTGTTATTTCTCTTATTGTATCTTATTATTGTATTTGACTTTGTCTTAAAATGGGAATGTAATCCCCCCCCTACACTGTTGTTGTGTCCTTGTCCTAAAGCTAGTAAGAATGTAAACAATGTTGTTAAAAGAGCTTGGTGAGTCTCTTGCAAATGTCATTTGAATAAATGGACAATGACACAAAGTTTGCAGAAGCAACAATTGTCTATATATGTTTTAGATATTTACTGTATTCCAATAGACCATAGGGACTAGTTCCAATGTGAAGCTAGTAAGAATGTAAACAATGTCTTGTGTCTAATGTTCACAGTAAATACTGAGATACAAAAATATGTGTGATGAGAAGAGGCTTTGGTTTCTTACCTGTTCTCCTCTTGGGCATTGAACAGCTCTTCATTCCTATCATTCCACAGTAAAAAATAAAATGAATCCCCGGTCTCTTGCCAATGTCTTTCAAGTCATTGTCTGATTACATAAGACTTACAGAAGCAACAATTATCTATATACATTTCACATATTTAATATATATATATATATATATATATATATGTTTGGTGGTTGGATGTATTGAGCTGTCAACCTAGTTATCTGAAGTGTTGAAGCGATCCTATTGACTGTTTTTGTCTCTTTGTTTTATAATCTAATGAGTGTTATTACTCTTATTTTATTATTGTATTTTACTTTGTTGTAAAATGGGAATGTAATCTCCCCTACACTGTTGTTGTGTCCTAGTAAGCTAGTAAGAATGTAAACAATGTTGTTAAAAGAGGAATGCAATATTCACTGTACATTATGAGATAAGTAAAAGGTTACTTACCTCCCACATTGACCATTTGTGCACTTGGGCTTGCTTCCATCACTCCATAGCAAAACAAAAACAACATTTGAGTCTCTTGCAAATATTATTTGAATAAATGGGCAATGACACAAAGTTTGCAGAAGCAACAATTATCTATGTTTTAGATATTTACTGTATTCCAATAGACCATAGGGACTAGTTCCAATGTGAAGCTAGTAAGAATGTAAACAATGTCTTATGGCTAATGTTCACAGTAAATACTGAGATACAAAAATATGTGTGATGAGAAGAGGCTTTGGTTTCTTACCTGTTCTCCTCATGGGCATTGAACAGCTCACCATTCCTATCATTCCACAGTAAAAAAAAAAAATGAATCCCTGGTCTCTTGCCAACGTCTTTCAAGTCATTGTCTGATTACACAAGACTTACAGAAGCAACAATTATCTATATACATTTCACATATTTAATATATATATATATTTGTTTGGTGGTTGGGTGTAATGAGCTGTCAACCTAGTTATCTGAAGTGTTGAAGCGATCATATTGACTGTTTCTATCTCTTTGTTTTATAATCTAATGAGTGTTATTACTCTTATTTTATTATTGAATTTGACTTTGTCTTAAAATGGGAATGTAATCCCCCTACACTGTTGTTGTGTCCTTGTCCTAAAGCTAGTAAGAATGTAAACAATGTTGTTAAAAGAGCTTGGTGAGTCTCTTGCAAATGTCATTTGAATAAATGGACAATGACACAAAGTTTGCAGAAGCAACAATTGTCTATATATGTTTTAGATATTTACTGTATTCCAATAGACCATAGGGACTAGTTCCAATGTGAAGCTAGTAAGAATGTAAACAATGTCTTGTGTCTAATGTTCACAGTAAATACTGAGATACAAAAATCTGTGGGATGAAAAGAGGCTTTGGTTTCTTACCTTTCGATTTTTTGGACATTGAACAGTTCCTTCTTATCATTCCACAGTAAAAAAAAAAAATGAATCCCCGGTCTCTTGCCTAATAACTGTAATTATAATAACACAGTGTGTTGAAAGTGACTTGTTACTTACTTGGAATAGGCCTACCCATCATTCGACCACCAGATGCACCACCTCCACACATGGCCATCATTGGCACTTCCGGGGGGAAAAAACATACATACTGTAAGTCCTAGTCTTTTGCAAAAGTCACTTCAATTACTGGCTGATTTTACAATATTTCCAAAAAGCAACACTTTTCAATAAACCATGGAATAAATATATTTACTGTAAAAGCACAAAAAGTCAAGGGAACGATTAAGAAAAAATAGCAAACTAGCAAACTAGTATTTATCCTAAATTTTCTTGAATGTTTTGAGTGTGCTCCCCAAATGCAAAACTTTCCAGAAGCACCTCAATAGAGCCTTGTTTCTTACTGGGTGTTGGAACATTTCGGCGCACCAGGGGTCCTTGGATCGTCTCTCCGTTGCCTTTTTTGACAGCAATGAAGGCAGTGAAGGCGCTGCTCACTCCTGATTGGACGCTGAGCTCCACCACCTTCTTCTTCACTCCTTCATCTGGCTGTCCTCTGCGCTCCATCTCCTCCATCTCCAGGGAGCGAATCAGAGTCCGAGCAGCCAACCTGTGCACCGTTAATCTGCGGACAGGAGAGAGTATACATCGATCAAGTATGAGTCCAACATGCAAGTTTATCTAAAGACATACAGGTCTTAAACATAGGGTTCATGTATTATCTGCAATCAGAATCAGTTGATTTAAAATGGCATCTCTAAAGCAAAGGAAAGAATGTCCTTCCAATACAAATGTCGGGCAAATATTAAGTAATTAATTGTAGTTATGTCATGCTCTTAAGGCGCAATGCTGTAATAAATATCTTTATATACTTAATTGGGGCAAATTACATGATACAAGACAAGTCATACAAATCAATTGGGGGACAAAAAGATCATTAGTGTCATTTATCCAATTCAGGAGATGCTTTTACTATTGCAACTGCTCCAACATCCCTCGTTTTCTACTTTAGCAAAATGGCTTAAACATTCACATTCATCATAGATATTATAATCTAAATTCACAGATAATAATAAGTCTGAATAATGCCTGTTTTACCCAGAGTCCTCTGCAGGTTTGAGGCTGAAGTGGAGCTTGTTCTGAGAGGGATGCCCTGCCAGGCTGTACTTCACCGTCACAGAGCCCTCTGCTGCCTCCGGACTCTGAGAGAGCATCACAGTGTTGGTGAGGGGTCAAATAATACTCAAAGTCATACATTATTTGTGTTTGGCTTCAACATTTACAGTTTGTTTTGATTCTGCCTGTGTTCAAAGATTTCTTAAAAAAAAAGAAAACAGCCACCAGAATGCCACAAAATTACATTTAATTACACCCACTCTAAGTCTACACTGTGACACTACTGAGCAATGACATATGCAGTGGCGACTGGTCATTAGGGGCAGGTGGGGCACAGCCCCACCTAGTGTCAGCAGAAAGTATTACAAATAATGATTACAATATTTTTTGAAAAAATACAAAAAATAAATAAAAAAGTATATAAAATATATTTTAAGATCATGGTTAATCATCTGATTCGTCTGTACATTGCTGTTTTAGTCTGTGTTCTTCTAATTAGTGTCTACAGTGTGTGCCTATTGAGCTGTTTAGAGCCATGTGGGACAAAACCTGATCATGCCCCTCCCTCTCACTGTCTGAGGCCCCGGCTCCACGAGAACAAATACGGCAAAACGCATCGGAGTAACGCAAACGCAACCGCAAAAAACCTTCCGACCCCACGCAATATACACCGGATTGTGTCAAGCTCCACGAGACGGCTCCGTTTACATCCAACCGCTGGAAAAGCTGCAGTACATATGCCGAACCTGTACGTGGCGCTGTAACTTCCTCCACAAAAGCAGCAACTTCCTCCACAAAAGCAGCGAAGAAGAATGGTTGTCATGGCTGCACTTCTGTTTATTCTCCGCGGTGGGGGCACATCCATGGGTGGGGGCCGAGGGAACCGCGCAGAGTTTTTCGCCGGTCAATGTGTGTTAAAGTTTAAATCTTCATGCTTCCTCATGCAGCAGCTGATCCAGTAAGTAAACCCGACAGTAAAAATAAACATATTTATAACTAGTTTAGGTAGTTTGAGAGGTAATTAAAATAGCTAAGGGTGGTGATCTGACTTGAAGTGTGTGTTTTGCTCTCGCTGCTTCACAGCCGGAGGAGCTGCGTGTCTCCGTCCTGTCAGATTAGACTTCACTCGCGTTTATGTTCATATCGAGATAAAGATAAATAATCTGAATTCAGTGTGCAGTGTACTTTTGCGGAGGTGAGCAGCAGAGGTGGGGAGAGGCGGGGCTATGGAACGCATGACCGTATAGGCGACCCCACGGCCCCGTTGGACCCCCCAGAGCGCTCCGTTCCCAGATCTATCCACCTTTGGACCCGTTGTCGTTTGCGGAGTATGTTTCTACGTTTCCCTTACGGCGTCGTCGAGCTTAAAGGGCTATACGCATGAGAAATATGCGGATTCAACCCGTTTTCGTCCTCGTGGAGCCTACGCCTAAGTGAACGGTGACTGTAAAAACTACACTGCGCATGCTCAGAGTATTTTCCTATTTAATGTGTGTGGCAAAAAAATAATGACCATAGGGGCACTGAGCTGCCATCCCCACCATACGTCATCTCACATAATTCAGAGCTGATTGGCTGTAAGTATGTGTGCCGTGAAAAGTGTGGTGTGTGAAGAGGAGACGAGAGAGCTGCAGTGACGCGTCCTACAACCCGGAAGTAAGCTGCGCATGGCTTCCCTCGACAAAAAAGCAATGAGATTTCTCCATAGGATTTTAGAAAATAGCTCGAAATAAGATCTGTGGGAAACGTACCTGTTAGATAAATGCACGTTTTGATTAGCCGGATAACATCCACATGTCTACCCTACTTTTATAATTTTTTAATCATAAATCTATCAATTAGATTTATGATAGACTTTTGAAACTACAAGAAGATAAGGAGGACTTTTACAAAAAAGTAATAGAATTTTTTGTCCAGAAGGATAGGCAAATGGACTTCATCTTCAAGTCAAGGTAAGACCGCAATTTTATTGAAAATGGGATCTTACTAAGAGAGAACAATTCAATATTTAAATGATAAAATTACATTTTTTGGGTATCCTTTTGTTGAACTGTCTGTTTAAAATTAATCGAAGCATCAGACAAAAAAAGCTTTTGAAAATAATATTATATTTTGGTTTAGGTCAACATATAATATTTGTAAACCTGAAGAGTCAGTGCCAGTGCCTCACCAGCCATGAACCTCACTGCACGTCACTGCAGAAGCTTATATATAGACATCTAAGTTTTTTGTGCCCCACCACTTTTGTACATATAAAAACGCCACTGGACATATGGAACTAAAAGTTAATATACAGCACTACAGTGAGCAGCAAACCCATGGATTATCGTAAGGTATAGCACAATATATATATACAATATATGTGTGTTGTGAATTGACTTAATACAGTCGTTATTAATTTTCACTCTTAACAACCTCATAGTTTGTATTGTTAGGGCACATTACATTTGCACCCTGAATATTCTTGAAATATATTTGGTCTAGAGAAGTTGTATTGGTCCTTCATAAGAATCTAAAGAATGGGATGGGGCTGCACTTACCTGTCCAGTGAGCTGGGCATAAATCAGTGACCTTTGACCCTGGAAAAGTGAAGTGATTGGTGGTGAGAGAACAGTGACAGAGACTCCCTTCGGCAAATCCCACTTCACTGAGATATCCACCACAGCTGGTTGTAGAGCAAAACGCAGCGACTGCATCACCTGATGAGAAAATGTAATTAAAAAAAATTAGGGACAGCCACTTGGTTCTTACTAAATGTATTTAAATACATTTGTAATGATGTCATCTGTCCAAATTGCATCTTTTCTTTAAATGTATATAATGACTGTGATGTCTTACTTTGGGTTGCATCCTGTCAGTGCCTGTGATGAACTGAGCGTGACCTCCTCCTTCTTTGGCCAACCCATTGATAAGAGCAGAGCTGGCCCCTCCACCAATCCCGAAAGAGAAACACCTACACAACACAAAGCATTAGAACATGGGACATATTCTGTGGATTCTGTGATCGTTTGCTGTGTTTTGGTGCGTTCACCTGTGGGAACCTGAATTCTTCTTCACCAGATTGATTACTTCTTTGGTGTTCCCCACTTCTCCGTCAGTGAAGACAAATAGCTAAGGAGGAGAGTTTACATAGCACTTAAAGAAACATAACATCACACCCAAAAATGTGCAGCATGTGTTGAGTCATCCACTTTATTCTCTGAAACACACATGGTTTAAACGGTAAATTGCAAAGAACAAGGTGTGGCTGAATGTGTGGGGAAATATTTTCACAACCTGTCTAACGTGTGTGTGTGGGGTGTGTATTACTTGTCTAGGTTGATTGGGAATGCAGGCATGGCTGTAAATGTCTTTGAGGGGCCTCAGGATCTCAGTTCCTCCCAGATTTGCTTCCATCTCTCCAACTTTCTTCAGAGCCTCTTCCATGGTCTCCTGGCTGTACTCCACACTCTTACTGCAACCAATGCGCATATTCATGCACAAGCATTAACACCAAAGACAGGAATGAATGTGTTGGGCAATAGTGAGTGACTTACGGGAAGATGTGTTCATGACTGGACCCAAAACTGTAGATATTAAAAAAGCAGCCCATTGGTAGACTCTTCAACAGGAGCAGCAGAGTATCCTGAAGAGAGGAGAGAATAGATGGTAACACCATGTGTCTAAAGGACTGATTATACCATACAAATAAAAGATAATGCATACCCTGGCACTCTTAATACGGTCCCTCTGCATGCTGCCAGATCGATCCAATAAGAACACAAACTCTCCACATGAGGCGAGTGAAGACATCACAGCCTGGGGGAACTCAGGGTACAGACTCAGCATCACCACTGGATCTCCCATCAGAGTGCCTGAAACACAGGAGAGACACAATTAATGACCACCACCACTAGAAACTCAAAATAAAAATGTTGAATAATCTCTATTGTCATTATACTGAGGTTTAATGGAAAAGACACAAGAGCATATCAAGGCATTTTCCTTTAGATAGAGGTGGATGACAATGG